CTCTACTCTAGAGCTGTCCATATTGAAATGCTCGAAGATTTGCCATCTGACTCATTCATAAATGCACTGAGATGCTTTATTAGCATTAGAGGAGCTGTACGACAACTGCACTGTGATCAAGGCACTAATTTTGTTGGTGCCAGGAACGAGTTCACACAAGCACTGAAACAATGTGACACTAAGTTACTAGAAGTTTTCTTGGCGGATAAACAGTGTGAATTTGTTTTCAATTCCCCCTCTGCCAGTCATGCAGGTGGTGTATGGGAAAGGCAAATCAGAACCATCAGAAATGTATTGAATGCTACCTTCACACAGTGTTCAGGCCGACTTGATGACGCATCCCTCAGGACATTGTTATATGAAGCCATGGCTATTGTCAATAGCTGCCCATTAACAGTGGATGGAATCAATGATCCTCAAGCATTGGAGCCTATAACACCAAACCATCTCATTATGATGAAATCTAAGGTTGCTCTCCCTCCCGCTGGAGTGTTTGTCAAAGAGGACCTATATGCCACAAAGAGGTGGAGGAGAGTGCAGTATCTCATTGAACAATTCTGGAGTCGCTGGAAAAAGGAATATTTGATGAACATTTCCATGAGACAGAAATGGCACTCAGCTCAACGCAATCTCAAGAAGGAGGACATTGTCATTATCAAAGACGATAACCTTCTGAGAAATCAGTGGCAACTAGGACGAGTAGTTGACACTGTTCAAGGCAGTGATGGATTGGTCCGTTGAGCCAAAGTTCAAGTCGGTGAACGAAAGTCAAATTCTTCTTCTAAACTTTCAATTATTGAGAGGCCAATTCAGAATTTAGTTCTTCTTTTGGAAAATTGATGAGAAAAGATGAACAACTTTTGTACAGTTTGTTTATTTCATGGTAATTTTATGCAACCATATTTAGTCTACATTATTTAGTAGAGTAAAAATCCTGTTCAATTCATTTACTCTTTATGTATTACTTTGTTCATTCATTGTAACAGGATTTGGTGGGAGTGTAAATAACTGCTTAATTGGAAAATTCTCCTTGTTCATTGGTCCAACAGTGACTCCTAGTGGTTAATTTATGCTTTCATTTTAAAGAATGGTAGATTTCTTCTTTGTTTATTCTGTGGTTACCTAGCAACACCCTGCGAGACGAAACAACATTAGATTATAAAGAAACCCGGAGAAAATCTTTAAAATAGCGCCCTCGGAAAGCAGAATGAGGTATAAATATATGTAATTGTGATTTGTAATAAGAAATGTTATAGGTTTATTTAAGAAACAGTAGAATGTTGTGGTTTATAAACGAAACTATATATTAACGAGTTAAAGGACATAACGTATTTTTTTGTGTATAACTGAATATTGATATGTTGATTTTATACAAGAGCTGAGTATGTCCAACGGTTCTGTATTCTTTTGTTTTATGCTACAGTTTTCACGGTGTCAATGGAAAGAAAGGTTGAGATTAAATTGCACTCGTTTGAAACTCCCTGCGTCTGGCTGTTCAATCCGAGAGGCCGCTACAGTAAATATTGTGCTAATTATCAGTATTGAACCAAACAAAGCAAGGCAGATGCAAGCCTTTAAAATTGTGACTCTTTTTATGGATCAAATAGACTCAAATATTGTAACAGCAGCTGCGCGGAGGGGCCCAAACAAATTTTTTGTCAGGGGGCCCAAGATTCCTGGCATCGCCCCTGTCCATATGTGATCGACTTTGTCATTGTTTCGTCGGATCTGTGGCCACATGACATGGAAACACGGGTAAAGAGAGGAACGGAGCTGTCCACTGACCACTACCTGGTGGTGAGTTGGCTCTGGTGGTCGGGGAGGATGCTGGTCAGACCTGGCAGGCCCAAACGTGTTGTGAGGGTCTGCTGGAAACGTCTGGCAGAGTCCGCTGTGAGACTGAGCTTTAACTCCCATCTCCAGCAGAACTTTGAACACATTCCGGAGAAGGTGGGGGACATTGAGGCCCCGTTTACACGACAACGATTTCGGGGGAAAACTTAAGAGTTTTGTTGCGTTTGTAGTGCGCATTTACACGAAACCACCGAATGTTTTCTTTGACAACGGCACAGATTGAAAACGGGTTCCAGAGTGCGATGTTTCTGAAACGTACCGTTTTCCGTTGTTGTGTAAACCGAGAAAACTGATCTTTTCTTCCAGAGAATCCCCAGCTCATGCATAGTATGACGCAAAACATAGCTGCTTCCTACAATCCACAGAAGAAGAAACTACTCACAATACTGGTGTTACTGTTTCCCCATCAGATACGGTTCCCTCAGCGTCTCTTCACCACTCCGCTGCTGGAAAAGATGATATGGGACATGGGAAGGGCGGGAGCTCCTATTTTATCAAATTTATATAGGAATAACAGACTGTTGGCCATTCCAAGGTAAAAGCAACAAACAGCTTCCAGTCCGGGGCCCGCTACGGACACCGTGAAAGCTCAAACAAGGTGTTGCAGCAAAGTTATCCCACTTTTTCCAACTGCATGCGCCCTAATCAGACACACACAATGCGTGTTTTCTCCTAATCTATGGGAGAACGGTACCTGATAGGGAAACACGAATCCAGATCCCTTCAAGTAGAACTTTTTTTCACCACATGCACACTCAGTTTCAAAGAACCTAGCACCAACTAGGTGCAGCGAGAGCATTACACGTTTTCGATGTGTGCCGTTACTGTGTAAACACAGATCGTAATTAGAACATTTTCGTGTAAACGACCCAACAAAAACGGAACAAAACTTCCGTTTTTGTTGGATCGTTGTCGTGTAAACGCCCCCTGAGTCTGAGTGGACCATGTTCCGTGCCTCCATTATCAAGGCAGCCTTTCGGAGCTGTGGCCGCAAGGTTGTCTGTGCCTGTCACAACGGCAACCCTCGAACCCGTTGGTGGACACCTTCGGTGAGGAATGCTGTCAGGCTGAAGAAGGAGTCCCATCAGGCCTTTTTGGCCTGTAGGAGTCCAGAAGCTGCTGATGAGTACCGGCAGGCGAAGCGGCACGTGGCTCGAGTGGTTGCTGATCAAAAACTCAGGTGTGGGAGGAGTTTGGAGAGCCCTTGGAGAAAGACTTCCGAATGGCTTTGAGACGATTCTGGTCCACCATCAGGCGCCTCAGGAGGGGGAAGCAGTACAGCACTAACACTGTTTATAGTGGGGATGGCTAATCTCGACTCAGGACCTTGTGAGCCAGTGCACAGAATACTTCGAAGACTTCCTCAATCCCACCAACATGCCTTCTATTGAGGAAGCTGAAACTTGGGACTTTGAGTCGGGCTCTCCAATTTCTAGGGACGAGGTCGCCGAGGTGGTTAAAAAGCTCCTTGATGTCAGGGCCCCAGAGGTGGATGAGATTCGTCCTGGGATCCTTAAGGCTCTGGATATTGTAGGGTTGTGTTGGCTGATGCAACTCTGCAATATCGCATGGACATCGGGGGCAGTTCCCTT